GCACAAGCCTGACTGTCCAGCAACACTATGTCAGAATGCAACATAAACAAACATTAAAAAAACATCCAAAATATATTGCCTCGCTCTGGTGAAATTTAACTATATTTATATATATATATATATCTCTCTCTCTCTATCTCTCCTCTCGTATCATGGCTATGGAAAAGCCACCAACTTGAGCTGTGTGAAAACACAGCGCAAACCTCTTTTTTTTCTCCGGGGTCGGCGGCAGGGGCGGCAGCCCTTAAATAATATATCCAATATGGATGGGATAAACATGAATCCCATTAATAAATATTAATAATATGTGGTTTTAACCTGTTTAAACCAGGAAAGAAGATGAGTCTGATGAAACTCCGATTGAAACATCTTGAATCGAAACGACCATTCTAAACAGGAATATTGCCAAGGGGTCGTCTCCCCCAGATCTAAATCAGTGACTCTGCTTCACCTCCATTCTCAGCTGTCGACTCTGGAAGACAACAAACCTGCGTTTGCGGGACAAGTTGCTTCGTCACATGTGCTTGAGACGACGCAACAAGTCGTTTTTTCAGTTGTATCACTTGCGACTAAGTAAATGGTCCATTAGCGGATATTGGTGAGGCCCAAAACCCGGTGCTTCGTCAAAAGACCATGGTCCAGCTCCAAATCATCATATTTGATCTATGATCTATCCATCAAGGTGCGCTTCTGGGAACCACACGAGATAAGGCAACAAAATAATGATGTCAAAGAACATCATGGCGGCAACACCTCCACGGCGCCACGGGAGAGTGCGGCGTGGCATTGGTAAGTCGAAACCCTGTAAATATGACACGGGCAAATGCCGCTCAAAAACAATGCCAGGATCCTTATCCTTATGATTACTCATCTTGCACCACCCTGGCCTTCTTGTAAAGAGAGGAAATTTCCAACCGTAGCTCCCACCATCCTGGAGATTTCAGAAATCCACCAGCTTCTCCATTTCCAGTTGCCATCAACTAACTCTCCCAGTAATTTGGCGTGTTTGAGAACGGGACAGACCGGCATATGCGGCCATTGTTCACGGACATATGATCATGCAACTGCAACAGTGAAATTTAGGAGCACAGTATGCCCACTTTCTGTACAAACCCAGTTCCTTTTAAACAGATACTGTACCATTTTCAAACCCAGAAAATGTCCATTCTGGATCATCATAGCGCCCAAGAAACCACATGGTATTACCCTCTGGTAATTTAACATAGCTATGGAAAATCACCCATTTTCAATGGGTAAATCCACTATTTCTATGGCCATTTTCAATAGCTATTTTGACATAACCAGAGGGTAACCCCTTCAAACACCTGGCATGGTCACAGGATCCCTGCTGAGCTCCCCTGACGTGCTAAGCAGCGCCCCAGCACTCACAAGGCCGAAGGCCACGCTGCTATCGCGACTATCCTGGGGCCCCTGGGGGATGAAATCTGATGACTATCCACCATCAACCCATGGAATAGCAGCAGCAGCAGCAAATTTCATCAACGTCTCGCGAAAATCCAGCAGCCAACAAGAAAATTGGACAATAATCCACCAAAGAACCACCAACCCAGAAAAGAAATGAGGGGAGTGATGGAGATATAGGAGAAATTAGCCGAAAATTGGGAATATTGACCAGCAAGTCTGATGGTTGAGCAACCTCGTTGAATATATGGAAGTGAATTGGGGATCATGATCTCATGTGAAAACATCTGGAACTGTCAACCAGAGGAAGATTCAACCTCAAAACAATGGACTTATAGCATGATCTTACGATTTGACATACTAAAGTTGATGACTGCAAGAAATATAGAAATATCTTGCAACTACTACTCCAAGGTTTTCTCCTGATCATCAACCTGTTGGACCTGAACTGACCTGAAAAACGAATCTTTATGAATATTAGCTACCGGCTGCACGGCCAAATCTCTCCGAGCTGCCCTTTTTGCTTCAGATCCTCTTGAGCCAAAGATTGCGACCGATGGAGCTTTGCCATCTGAACATCAAAGCAGCTTTTTGACTGCCTCTGAAGCTTTCGATACACCGTACATGATTAGGCCCCCCCAAAAAAATGCCCATTCAACACAGTATAGTTCGCATTCAACAAGCATCAACAAAGTATGACCCAATCATCTCTTTAAAAAGGAACATCCCAAGGCACTACTAGAATCTACTAGATACTTCCCACATGTTGGCTCACCTTAGCTCAGTTCAGTCAGCTCCACGAAGTCGCTGTTGTGCAGGCAGAGCTGATAAGCCACCGAGATCATGGGACTCCCCGTGGCGCGGAAGATGGGCGTCAGCTGCACCGGAAGCTCCAGCTGGATGACCCCTTCTAGGATGTCGTCAATCTGGAGGAAGGCGGAGCCCATGTGCACCGGAACCAAATGGCTGGATTCCATGATCTTCACCTCGATACTGGGAAGATTATACAGCGATACTCCTGGAACTTCAACCAGAAAATTCCACGGCGAATCTTGCGGCATCTCCCTGCTCTCGACTCGCTGTTCGACTCTGGAACCCTTATTGAAGATCACTTCGAGGAAGCATGGACGACCTGGAATGTTGATACCATGCTTGATGCAGCAGCGCAACAAATATTTCCGTGCGCACACCGCATCCCCTCCTCTTACCACCAGAACTCGCTCGTCTATAGAATCAAAGTGATCTGTTCGCTCTGAGCGACATTTGTCGCAAAAGCCAGTCGTCGCATATTGTATAGCCTGGATCAAAAGCTTCATGGCACACTCCCACGACAAGATGAACTGCAAGTGTTTGAAGCCTGATGGTTATTATATGTTATTATTTTCTGCAGCTGGTATCTATGGCACTAAAGGTTCTGACTTTGCGACTTGAGATCCACTTCGATTCTGGCCGGTTTTTTGAGCCTAAATGCTGCTTCGATGAGCCAAACAAGTAGCAAAACATAGCAAAACCCTCATCCCAGGCCACCGAGGATGTTTGGTTGCGAAGTTGGGTCAAAATTCACCGAATCTGTAGTCCTCGATGAGGTCGACGATGTAGGCAAACCAAATGGCCAGCACAGGCAATTCTGGCGCCAGAGAACAGTCGCTAGTGATTCAATTCATCCATGAAATATACAATCTCCTCCTAATCATATTGGAAGCCATTTGGATCCATTTGGGATCATTTAGGTGTGTTTTATATTAGGGGGATGGGATTTGTGTAGTGTAGCCTAGTGTTGTGTAGTCTGATGCAATGGGACCTAATGAAATGTATTTAACCGTTTCAGGTAATGTGATCTAATGTAACGGCATGTAGAGAAACATAGGTAGATAGTCACTTGGGCTACATCATCCCAGATAGGGCGCCAAAAATCGATTCACGAGCTCCTCCAAGTGGCATGAGAGCAAAGGTGATGTACATGCTGACATTTCCTGGTCCAGCAGACAGTATGTCAACCATGTCGAAATATTTCAGGGATGGGTCTGTCACAAAAAATGAGGGAAAACCACATAGATAGGGAGTGGTTAGTGTCTTTTGCAACGGGTTGTTGACTAAATCAGTAAGCACCATGCTTCTGCTGTGTGAGACCCTGTGTGGGGCCGTGTGGGGCCAATGGCTGGGACAGTACCTCTGAATGTGCGGCCAAAAGTCTGTACACAAACAGCGCTAGGGACACCAAGCTCGGGTAGCCAAGCAAACTACAAAGCCTTAGATTCTGCGAATCCGCTTCATCCCAGGAATCGGATTATTTCAGAATATTTCAGATACCAAAATCTCAGGAAACCGTAAAAATAAATTTCCTATAAGCCCTTGAACAGATTGCAATGCAGGAACAGGATGACAGGTCGTCGGCCGATTGCATCGCTCAGCGCTCCCAGAAATGGGCCCAAAACAAAGTGCAGAACAGAGCCAATGGCACCTGGCATGACAGTGAAATGGAGCAAAAGCTCCAGCTGGGTAATGGGTCAGAGTCCAAAGTTCGGGGTAGCCCAAAAAATTATGGTCAACACTAAAACGTCACAAACATCTGGGGAGGGCAGCCTTGAACTTTGATCCGTACCTGCTAAGCAAAAGCCATAATCAATGAGGCTTTGGTAAAGCATTCTGCTATCCCTTCATTCATAGGCATCTTTGGACTTCCCAGGCTTTCTGATGGTGTCGCACCGCTGCACCTATTGTAGTGCTCCAGAACAAGTTGTCGTTAATCGCTGCCTTGACAGGTGGCAGGCATGGCGAATGAGCGTCCTTGATCTCCATCGGGTCCCAAACAGGTGCCTGGCAATATGAAGCCTCCGGCGTGTCTTCACACCGTATGTCTCCAGGCCTCCAATGGGGGATGGATCAGAATTGAGCGTCCAAAGATGGGATGGTTTGTCATGATTTGTCATGTCAAAAACATGACTCTGGTTTCATATGGTCATCTTATGTCGTCTTATGACTAAGGTTTTATGTAGTTTGAATGGTCAAAATTACCCTGGGCTCCCATGCGTGCTTCCCACCGGCTGTGATGAAAGATGCTTGGCTTGCTATTGCATAACCCAATATTGGATCCTTTGGGGTGTGGCTTCTCCATCAATAAGACTAAGCCTACAAGTTTTCTTGCCCCTTTTCCCACCTAAGATCGGTGTACTGCTGGGCAAAGAAGTTCAAACCTCAGGTGTCCATCACAATGGGGCGATCTACCACGCTATCTTCCTCGCTGTCTGCTGGGTCGTACGGTGTACGGTCTTGGAGACAGTTGTTGACCCGGTATGTTCAGTCGTAAAATGTCGATTTCTCCCAGAATGGGACTGAGTCGGACTGAGGGTACCCCTAATGGCTGAAAATGGATTGAAACATCACTTTCCCCATTAGACTTGCCATATTTAGGGGTATCGAAAGCACCATTTCTGGTCACGCCCAGACCGAGAAGCCAAGATAGGACAGATTTGTGGTGCGGATGCCCGTGCTGAGACCACCAAACAGCACAGGTATCCATACAGAACCCAACTGGCGTGCTACCTGTGGCTGGTCATTGAGTCTGGCTTTGGGGCAAGTCATTGGGGTACACATCGACCAAAAAAAAGGTCGACTTGTGTATTGACAGATCCATTTTGGGGGTCATAATTTTGATCATTTGGACGCTGAGAACCTGCCTTGTAGAAGTCAAAAGCTGCATCTCCATCCTCCTTGCCGCACCGCTACTGGCTTAGTCAACCAGTATTGATTCATCTCTTCCTACTGACTGTGCCTGGCAACTTCAACCTTCTCAAGATTCAAACTCTCAATACCAGCGGATATTTTGATGATTTTGGTGATTCTCCTAGCAAGCAGCCCTGATGTTTCAACACTTCACAGAACACATCGCCATCCCATCCCCTCCTGTCGTGACGACTCAGTTTGGGCGGGTCCCATCAGCCCATCAGCCACAAGAGCTGCTGTGATGTTCGGCTGTGCATCCGTATTTTGCAAGAACTCATCTGCTGTGCAGCTGGAACATGCTAAAATTTGGTTGCTGCTCTGTTATTGGCATCCTTGAATCGAAAGAGTTATGTGACTCATCTAGGAATCAGTGCTCTTCATCGCATCTTCATGGTTTGGGGCTCAAGTCGCACCTGTGAGCGCATCTGAGGGAAAATGAGAGAAGGCATCCAACTTCAGCGGCCAATGAGTCACACAAGCAACATCATGTCTGAACCTACAGTACTTCATGCAATTACAGGCCGGCTCCCAATCAGAACTGGGATATTTCACCCCTTTTGACTGCTGCACAACCAGTAGGGCAGTTTATGAGTGACAACTTACTGCCTTCGGTATACCTGGCTGAGGGCATTGCCCACATTGCCCCACCATGTCCCACTTCTGAGTTGTCCGACACTCGGGACAATTCCTCCGAAAAGGCGGTTTCGAAGGCTGCCAAGACCTGGTATACACACATTGATCTTGGATGCTTGTTGTATCAGGCAGCACCAACTAGTACCTCCTTGTAAGTACCCCAAATGGATTAGGATGCAGATGATGCAAATGCCAAATTCATGGTATATGGCACTGAACCAAAATCATTATACCATATTCTACTGTGGAAGAACCCCCATAACTACCAGCTGTTCACCGGTTCCACCGGTTCGGCTACCAGCCTTCTTGCGCCCCTCTGCATTGAGGCTGGCCTGGTATGCTGGGACTCACCAAAGTTTCATCTTCCTGGGCCCTGGCCTAATCCCTCCGATTCTTGGGGTACCCAATGACTTGAACCCTCATGAGCAGACCACTTGGGTCTGCGCCAAGAATAGGACACCCAAAACTCCAGTGGTTTCAAACCTGATTTTCACGATAAAGAAATCTTCCCGAAAAACATTCTCACTCTGTCCGGTTTGTGTGGAAACCCATGTCAGACTTTAGGGTAGGTTGACAGCCCCGTTGCCTCTGCTTCCAAGTCGTCTAAGACTGACACCTAGGTTGACGGAAACACTACAGTATAGGCCAGTTCATAGGCCAGTTCAAGAGAGCAAAAAAAATTGCCTGAACTGGCCGTGGCTTAGAAAAACGTTGGTACCAAAGGACCTACAAATATGTTCATGTTCTGTATGACATTTCATCGTGTCAAGTTCTGTTTCTGTCTGCTCTCACTCGGTCATTTTCTCCAGGGAGCAGGTTGCTTGGACCGCCATCTCTCGGATGGATGCTGTGGTGCCAGCGCTGATTTCCAACCAGTGCCCAACCACAACAACGATTTGCGGCCCTGTTTGGAGATTGGATATCGACACAGCAAACTCACACTTCCACCTCTGGACAATTGGGTGGGTGGCGGGCCTTTCAAATTTGAATTGGGCCAGAGTGTGCTGCTGCATTCACTTGCACACTCGGCAATGTCCTTACTAATCGGTGATTATGCACTTAACCCTCCACGTCTTTCGGGTTGCATGACTTTGAGCCAGACCCCAATTGGCTGATCAAACTCCGACATGAAAATGTTTCCATCCGGCGCTAAGCCACGGACCAGGCATTCTCCAACCAGGGAGCCTCGTGCTGTGCTCGGACATCCTTCAGCCTTTCGGTCAGCTTCTGCCATGGCTCGTCAGCCAATGGTTTGATTAGTAAAATGGAAGCTCCACTAGCTGAGGCTCCAAATACTCTTTGCGGATATTTGAGCCTTTGCTTCGCAGTTTAGTCCAAGATCCACTTCAGGAACATCAAAGGCATGTCAAAGGCACTGTCCACTTCTCTGGCTTCCAGGGTTTGCATGTCGGTGCTCGTTTGTGTACCATCTCTGAAGCCTCAACGGCTCTCACTCCAGGTGCAATGTCGGACCTGCTGGATAATGACTTCATGAAACCCCTTTTTCGCAGGTACTGCGAACCTAAGTCTGACTACAACCATATCGTGTAATACCATCCCCTCTCATGTACCACTCAGCCAACAACTCCAGCTATGGCATGATGCCCCACTTCTGGCCGGTAATTCGCCCTCTTTCCAAGATACCACGGGCCCCAAGTGGAAGCGGGTGCACAGATTTTTTGCCACGCTTTGCAAGTCTTTCGCCCCGGCAGCGCTGCCAGAGACCGGTTTGAACTTGCATGTATCCAAGTGTTCTCATGATTCAAAATGCTGATCTGCATAGATCAATAAATATCTCAATGATTTTATCCACCTTAATGATATGAACACTAGATATATCAAATGATATGGCATATATGTCCGTCTTAAGTTGGATGGTTGTTGTTGCGCCGCCACCGCTCAGAGGTGTCCTTTGCTGGACACAGGATCTCTCAAAATGTATCCTTCACCCCCGAAAGTTCGGAAGCTTTCAATGGCATGTCCTGAATGTCCTAGGACAGAATCTGGAGTTTCAACGTCTGAATTCTGATTCGCCCAGTCCATGGCACGCAATCTGCAAAATTCAGCCACATTTGGGTTTCTCTGAACAAAATGATGGGGAAAGCCCAACAATAGATGGTTCAAAACCCTATTTTCCCCATTATATAAAATGACTGTAAATCGGGGACAACTCCCCATGTTTCAGACCACACCCAAATTCTGCCAGGCAACAGCGCATGCGCTGTCTTGGTGGCAAGCCGCGGGCCCAGGGGGGCCTCGGACCACTCCATCCACTGAGATGCATTGCAGGAACTATGAAGCTGGATACTGGATACTGTAAAGACATATATATATAATATACATATAATATATATATAATATATATATAATATATATATTATATATATAATATATATATATATATTATATATATACACCTACTAAAAACGTATAATGTATATTTATTCCACTGAGTCTGTGTCGGTGTCCCAACGCCTGCTTGCCACGTCCCCCCAAAAGCCGCTGTGGCGAGGGAACGGTTTTTGTGATACCTCCCGAAGGATATAATACATTAAGGATATAGATAGTATGATATAAATTGATATAATACATTAATAAGAATCCCAAGCCTCCTTAATGTTCTGAAATTGAGATGCGAACAAATCCTCTGTGCGCTGACGACGGCCACCACCTACATTCGGAGAGCTGGGATTGACCTCAGCAAGATTTTTTTAATGGAGATTTTGTCTTGAAAGTGCAGTTTCAGCTATAAGCATAGTTATGGGGGGTATATCCCAACTTATTTGGTTTTATAGCTATGGTTATCGCGTTATACCCATTTGTAACATTTTGTAACCTCAACCTCACCCCCAAGTACAGCAGACTGAACAGATTGTGATCCAAAGTGAATTGGAGTCATTCTTCCAGTGGCCCAGCTACGACAAAAAATCTGCTGATTTCAGTGGGGGTATTCCTCAAATTGCAGTACCCGCTTGGACCAAAAATGTCTAGTCATTTTTGGTATATTCTACCATTCACCTTCGGGTCCAACCCTTTTCATCCCCGTATCATAATGATCCCCAAGAAAGAACTTCCCATTTTGAACCCATCCAACATCCAGAGGGTTCATGGCTTGGGCTCTGACGCGACGAATGTGTCCACTTTGCCCGCGCGGTCGCGCTGCTTGGCTCCTAGGTCGGGGGCCGTCGCTATTGCGCCGCGAATAGCCTGCGGAACAGTGCCACCCAGGCACCAAGCTGGCAACATGACACTCAATGCGTCTAAGACATCTCTAAATCAGACTTCCATGATTTTCCATGCCTGGATTGAAGCTGCCATCATCCATCTCCGCTTGTCGGCTCTGGTTGTAGCGACTAACATAGCCACCACCACGGCCACCGCGCATACTGCGGCTGCCACTGTTGGCATGGTACTCAAGCCACCTCCGCTTCAGGGCAAGGTTATACATAAATTATGTTAAATCATGTTAGATTAGCATAAATTCATGCAGCACGACCTCTTTTTCTGAGTCGTAAGCCAGATGAATAAGGTACTTGTCTGACCCCTTCCAAGCCAAGCTGAGGCACAAGCTCTGGGATTCTTGCGGACTTCATGTCCCTCACAGACCTTCCCAGAGACATGGTGGATGCATTGTGCCAGCCGCTTCAAGAGCTGAGTTCCTGGCTTGAGGATATCCCTCAGCGCTGGTTCCCAGCTGCCAACCAGAGAAGTGGAAAGACCCGTATTCCTCACGCCGGAAGTACATCGCTGTTGTTCAGGTTCTAGCCGGTGGTCACACCTTTGGTTGCTCTTGGTTTTGAACCATTCCGTTTTGTGGGTAGAGAAACTTCAGCCATGAAATTTCATCCATCACTGAGCAGTCCCGATGCGGCCAGTTCTGCCGATGCGGTGGGTGTAATCCTGCAACAAGCGAGAACAACACTTCCGAAAATCCTTACGCTGCCGCAATCCATGAGAGCCTTGTGAATCCCGCCAGACAATCAAAGGTCTTCCACAAGCAAGAATGTGACTACGGATCACTTGGCACAAGCTGCTTTGAAGCAGGTCTTTTGCCCCGCTAAAAAACTGGAATATTCCCACATTGCCAGCCTCTGCATTCAAAGGCATTTCGTAGTTTACCACATGGTCAACGCCTGCAGAAAGGAAAATAAAACGAACATCTGGACATAGATCAAACTTAGCCCGATTGGTTTCTAAGAATCGCACCATCCAATTTTGGTGGGTTACATAAACAGTTATAAACCCATATAAAACATCATAAAACCCACGGCCGATTTCGTAGCCAAAATCCCCATGTTTTCTGTTGCTGGCATAGACGGCCTGGGAGGTCCAATCCTCGAGCAGCCACATCAGTGGCCACCAAGACCTGCTTCGCTCGAAAACCCAGATGGTTTCCAGCGGATTTTCCCATGGGATTTTCCGTATCCTATGTCAATTTTCCAGGCGCGGTACATATGATTAAATAATATTACTTATGTATCACCAGTTTTGCTTGGTGTTCAACCAAAATTTCGAGGTTTGTGCATGTTTGTACACCCATTTTTCGGTGTTGACCAGCTACTGTGGCTGGCAGGGTACTGGGTTGATAGTTGGGTATGGGCCTGGGTTCAAACTGATTCCTTCACCAACTTAATGTCACCTGGTATAAATCATCCTGTTTGGGGTTGTATCCAAGATTTTTCCAAGTTACACCCCTGACGTGACCAAGTCTTTTGTAATGACCCATCTCCTGCCACAGTCTCAGACACAAAACATATACCTCCCAAGACTCACAACTCATGTGCTGTGAGTTTCAACACAGCAACCAAGTTCATCGCAGGTTCTCAGGGGTCAGATCAACCTATCTGCGCAGTTCCACCCAACTCTGAGCTGCCCTGCAGACACCCGACCATTCCGAAAGTCGCTCAGAGCACGATCGCGGGCGGCCTGCATCACGCCGAGGCATACGAATTCAGATGCGACAAGCCCAAAGTAAAAACCGCACGAGGATCGTTGGTCAGCAAAGTGTTGTAGTTTTTGGCTTTGTCCAAAAATTGTGTACCATTTTCCCCATTGAAATTTCCATTGTGGGGTATATACGGGTACTCAATTTTCGGACAAACCCAACTAAGCATGTCCCAACTTGGCCTGTGACAGGCCACCATGGATCTGCATGCTCCTTCGCGACAAGAATGGGGAAAAGAAAGGACATGACATGGCTGCCATGACATGGTCAAAATTAGTTCATGCCCAAGTGCATATTGGTATTTACATTTTTTTTTTTTGAGTTTAACCATGATATTGACTGCATTGACTATGCTGTTCATGCCATGACATGGTCAGTCTCCAATATTGGGATAGGATCAATACCAAAGGTAGCCCAGCCACCAGTTTTCTCCTGATCTGCGCATCGGAGAGACGCCAAGTTATGGCATCGACGGTGGTTCTTGGTTGCGGGCCATAATTCACATGGGCTGAAAATGGGGTAACCGTAGTTACAAGGGTAATTTCATCTTATCATTATTATGCACATGGCTATTAAAATTAAAACTGTTATTATTCTCATCGGTCTTCTTCGTATTATGTTTATCATTATTATGTTTAATAGTGTTTGTTTAAATATTGTCATTATCATTATTGGTTTTTATTATTGGAACATAGACACTTCTGACAAAGCCATATCCATCAAACTTTGTTGGATGGGACAGCTTTTTTTCGTAACCAACCTATCTGCCGGCCACAAAAAGCCGCCGGCCGCAATGCAGTGTCCCAGGAATATCTAGGAATCCGCACTTTGAGTTGGCGAAGACCAGAGTTTTTGCAACTTTGTCATCACTCGTGGTCTCCACCTCCTTCACTGCATCCACCAGCATTTCAAACTTCCCATCCAAATCCTGGGCGGCTTGCAGAGGAAGCCGCTAAGCAGAAAAAAGAACCAACAGCTCTCAGGGTCAAACTGTAGTGCTGGCGTCCTGGAAACGCTGCACCTGGCAGTTTTGTGCTGGATCTTCCAGGTCAACATCTCTGCGTGAAATCGGATAAGCTTCCGACCACATTGTCGCAAGCTTCACCCACGCGACCGACTCCAATCCACCTGGCTGGCGCGACGTCGCTGCGAGTTGCATCGAGTTGCTGTGCTAGGCGTTTCTGAGCCAACCACAGGTAGGTTGGATCAAGAAAGTCCAGGGCTAAATCCTGTTGGGAACAGCCGGAGGATGCTGGAAGCACGGTTGATGTCATGACACAGACAATATTTTTCATGGGACCCTCCTGCAGAATTTGTCTGTAAATCCACAGTGGAATTTCGAAGGAATCTCCTGAAAAAATGGGTTTGTGAGAATGACATCACACGTGACTGAAATCAGCCGTGCCGACCTGCATCTCTCGTGGGAAAGTGGCGGAAAACATCATCGTCTGTCTTCCATCCTGTCCCCTTGGTTTCAAGCATGTTTCAAGCATCCCGTGACGCTGTTGTGCCATGAACTAGCACAATATATCCCAATTCAACAGCATCCACAGAAGTCTTTCCAATCTTGATCAATTTTGTCGGATGCCATCCGCAACTCAGGTTCACAACATAGGCCTAGAAAATCAAGTGATTTCTTAGGCGCAAACCCAGGTTCCGGCATGCTGTGTCCTGGCAAGGGGCCAAACAATGCAGCCGTGAACAGGAAATGAAGTATGGGGATTGGCGAATCCAAAGAAATTAGAGAAAACTGGAGTCCCATAAATCTTGGATTTGACGCCACGAAGCCCAAGTCTCCCGACCTTCAATGATGGATCTGATTTGGGGCTCAAAGCCCATGTCCAGCATGCGGTCCGCCTGGCCGATTCGCCCAGAAAATTCACGATCGCAGTTGGAATGTTGGAGATCTCCAGCCTCATCAAGGATACAGTATTTCACCTAGCAGATAGCAGACCCAACGTAGAAAGTTCTACGATGTTCTACGTCTTCCACTGTTGGGTGCTGCAAAGGCAGATCAGTTTGGGACTCAAATGGTGGTTCAATGGGAGATTGCGTATGGCGAAGTGCAATTCTTGACACAGGATAAAGATGGATAAAGTATGATAAAGTGCTGTCTGAACTTCCGAAAATCTTGCTAAAACCGTTGAGGTAGCTGCGTCTCGCATGCTAACAACTCCTCGCTCCAGAAAGTCCTTGTGCCAGGAATCTGGTGTTCAAACCCTGTGGCCGATCCAAAGATGTGGGCTTTTCACAAGCACCAGCACCTCATCCCTCAATGATGATGAATGTCAATGTCACTTGCGGGTGGAACCAGCACCCTGATATACCCTGATCAATGATTATGGAATATTGCAGCAGCAATGCCAAGTCAAACCACTTCGCAACTGATGAGGCATCACATACGGTCCTCCAAACGGCCCGGAGTGCAAATGATAATCTCAGCTCCCTCTGCAAGCGCCTGTGGCTGTCAGGGTCGACATTGGTGGAGCGACCATCATGAGAGTCAAGCTCAGCTCAGAGGACTTGAGCACCTCAATATACTTGAGCACCTCAATATGCTTGGGGAATGTGGAGTAATACCTAATTCTGTGAAACCCTCTATCGCCTGCTAAAGGTGAAACTATGTGAAAGCACACTCTCTTAGATAGAACAAGCTCACTGGAAAAGCAGCAAAGGTGAGGGGGGCACGCTAGCTAATAGATACGTGTGCCATGATCTTGGTGGGTAAACTTGTGCGAGTGGCATGCCGAAGCGTGTCGCAAAGCTTGAAACCCTAGATGAATTGAAATCTGGGTGTGGCTCCAGACCCTGGTAACCTGCTGAACGTTGAAATAGCTGGGTCCATTCTCCATATTGGCGTGTCTGAAAACTGGGCACCCCAAACCAACTTGGTTTATCACCATTTTTCCCATTAAAATACACTTTTGGGGTATAGCCTATTTAGCCGATTTCCGGCCTACCCCACATGGTACCATATGGTACCATAGTTTTTCCATCCAAAACAATATCTTCATAGCACCGGGGGCGAGGCTTTCAGCTGTGGCAAAGCATCTGCACCACCATAAATAGCCACCACACGGGCAACTGTCCTGACAAAAGGCCACTCCAGATCCGGGGTTCCGAATTGGGATTTGGCAGTGTGTCAAAACCTTGTACCCCTGGTGAACATCAAAATAGCTGGTAAATGGATGTTCATCCCCCTAAAAATGGTATTAATAGGTATTGATCCATACCCAAATCCCATCAGTTTTTGACTTCGAAATTTCGGACATCGACTCATCGACTCATCGCATCTCGTCGCCTGAAGCACAGCTTGCGGGCTTCCAGCGTAATTTGCTGACAAAGTTCACGGGTTGGAGCCATGATGACCCTCAGTGTCAGGAAGCAACCCCCACGACACCATCATACCAATGGCTGATAACATTCTTTTCGGGCCAATCTCGACTTGTTCATGTAAATTCAGGTGTTTCATAGAATCACAAAAATCCGAAAAGCGCTTTTGGGATAATTGTAGTATTTTAATATTCAACAATTCATCACATATCAAGAGACATCTTTATTGAATTTTATTGATATGGACATCCCCCGTAGGGTTGCGCTGAGTCGTCCTCTCCCGCTAAGTGCCAAGCGCACTTGGCCGGATAGCTCCCTCCTCCAACTTGTTCTGTCCAGCCACCAGGGTCTCTGCCTCAGCCGCATCCTGACTCCCAGACTTGGACGAAGGGAAATCTTACAGGAAATCCCACCTATAACTAGGAAATTCCATGGAAATTTCAATTTTCCCATTCTTCCCTTTCCCCAGTGAACTAACGACCCCTCACGGGACCCCTCACGGAACCCCTCAGGGTCCACACAATCAAAGGAACCAGGAAGGCTGCAGTTTTGCCGCTCCCGGTCTGCGCACAAACCTGATGCCCCAAATACGCATCACTGTGACTTTGGGGGGATAATTGTTCTGGTTGGTACATGATTCGTATACTATGTATGCATACAACACACCATATATTTGATATGGGGTGATATGGTATATCTATATTCTATAAAGATATACCTATATATGTACATGCGTGTGTGGGCGCGTGTATAGGCATATGATTACTATTATCATTATCATTAGTATGAATTATACTTAGCACTAGTGCTCCACCTTGGTGTCCTTGGTGTCGTCTCAGCATCCCACCATGACATCGTTGCCCGCCAGAGCTGCGGGCACTGCATGTTTCTGAACCTCCGTCAGGATGCCAATGACCATCATCCTACTTGGGGGGTGCAGTTGAGGTCAATAATGGGTATAACACCTTGGTATTTTAACGATTTTTAATGCCCATAAGTTGGGATATAACATGATATAACATCACCTCTATAAAGCCTATAACATCCTATAACATCCTATGACTCTGGTTGTATTATATCCACTTATGACGGGACTGCGCTTCCAAGTAGTGGATTGGCAAAGATGGTGTGCAAGGGCATGGTTATTGGATTCAGTCTTACCATCCACCTACTGGGATATGATCCAAGATATTCGCGGTGCTTCAGCATAGATTGAGGCTGCAGCGGGGGTGGGCTTATCGTACCTGCCATGTCGCGACCATGTCTCCACATACGGATCCAATTGTTTCAATAAATTGCGTGGGGCATCCTGGCATCCCTAAAGAACGTCCAGCAGGCAGTACCCACATCTGTACAGGATGTTCTCGACCAGCTCCTTGTCGCAGCGGGTCAAGACTTACATCTCTAACCGGGGGCGGTTCCCTCTGGAGTTTTCATTTGGCAAAAGGTTTTTCTCTATTTTTTGGTAGGTAAAACATCTAGAAATCATGGAAATTCCAGTACCTGGTTTGCTTACCAAAGGGGTAGTTCACATGGAAAATCTAGCCTGCCAACATTTTGAGGGAAGCCGACAGTACCAGCGATCTTGACTCAGGCAACCTGGTAGGATTAGAACCCCGGTGTCCTTGGGCATGGTGAACTGATTGCAAATATCTTGGAAAGAATCACAGATGACCTGCGCGCAACCCGCATCTGTTCAAGAAAGTGGATGGTTCAACACCATAAGTTGCCAAAACCCTATGGTTTTGGTACGCTTCGGGTGGCTTTGGATTTTGACTCACAACATTCCACAGCCATATTCTGATGACATGGCGCAGGGGCTGCCCACCTCATCTCCTAGTCCACCGCGTCGGTCAACCTCCACCTCGTCATAGGCATCGAAGTTGATCCTGATCCAATTCCCAGGGGACAACCTGCCTCTGTCTCTGGGAAAGCTCCAAAATATTCCACTCTCCGTGTTTCAAGGTCAAAGCTTGAAGAAATGGCTCCATGCTCTTCCTCTCACCCTCACGGCCCTCACGGCGCACCCCTTCTCCATTTTGGTGGTGTTGAAGAGCATGCGTTCTTCACGGCGCCAGTACAGGTCGTCCCTTGGAGGTATGCCAGTCCTGCAGGAATCCGGATGGTAACCCGCAACAAGCCCTAAATCATGTACCAAGAACATCCAAGAACGGGGTTTTATTTGTTACTCCGTTTACCAAGTCTTATCAAGTTATACAATGAATAGCATCATGTTTCCTTCAATGGTTGAATATCTCCAAACCGCATGGACTCCTTGAAGGGTCATAGTTTTGGGGGTCGAAAGCACATCTGTCTCTTGATGCTATGCCTCAACAAACGCGCTTGGTAGGTGAAGAATTGCGCTGCTTCTCTCTTCCTCTTGGCCTGACCATACTCACTGGCTTGACCTTTGCCAAGCCCAACAGATAAACCTGAGGACTTTTCGCCAAGCCTTGCAGAACCCTGGCCTCGCGCATTTGGTACTGCGCTTCGGAGCCGGCACCTCTGCTCCCTGAGAACAGGATTCATCCCGCCATGCCCAGAGTCTCCACACACATGAAGAAGAAGAAGAAGAAGGAAGAAAGACATCCCTCATTCCGGAGTCCGATAAGTTTTTCAGGCTTTCCCAAAATTATGGGACCCCCAAAATCATGGCACATCCCCACAATTATCATCAAACTTATGGATTGATTGGTCATTTGGTGCAGACAAGGATGAGAAGCCACCTCCAAAGGCTCGGAGCGCTATGGCAACACCTCAGGTGGTTGAATGGCAAGACGTTTCAGGCTATGGTTCAATTGATTCTTTGGATAAATCCATGGGTTCGCCCAGAAATATGGCATGCATTTCCGGCCATATAGCTTGGGGAAAATGACCGTTCTGAAGCATGGGCTTTGGAGGTTTTCCCAACATTCCAGGTCTCCAACCCACGGCATACCAGAGCTGTTGACATCTATCAGTGGTCCGGGTCCAGGTTGATGGCCTCAGATGGCTTCTCTCATGCCAGGATGTTTATCAACTTTCTTTGAACATGCTCCAAACATCAATACATCCGATCATCCAACACTAAAAAAACATGATCCTTGGGAGGAAGTACTTGATGGGGAAGAACATGTTTCTTCCAAACATCAAACAACGATGATGATATTATACATCAAAATTATCAAATTCTCAGTATGTCAGCTGTTCATCCAGTGGATCTCAGTCCGAGGCAGCTGCTGACTTCGCGGCGGAAGCGATGAGCTCGTTTTGCTTCGCTCCCCTTGCCTGGACCAGAGCGAACCGGACCCTCCTAGGGTCGGGGGAAACAGCGGTTGGTTCCAAGGTGGCCCTACATTGCAATCGATATTCATCATTACTCATCATTATTCATCATGATTCATCATTGTTCATCATTATTCATCTATGTCTATATGATTAATTATGATTCTATTCTAAATTATTCCACATTCATCTGTACATATCTACACTCTACATTCCCTTCCCATCTTTCATTTGTTGCTTCAAAAAAACAGCAGAAAATCTGCACTGGCCTCGGCCATCTGACTCTGACCCCCACGAAGCTCCTGGCGATGCTGAGGAAGGCGCAAGTGAAACCTCGGTTCTGCCACAAATTTCCAACCGGATCTATGTGTGACAATCGCTTGCATCATGTTGAAAAAGAAATCCTCCAACTACTTGGTAGTTCACCAGGGTTAAGTGGGTTATAACATGTTATAACTCCAATTATACATGGACTAAGCCTGCTTAGCCTATTTCTAACCGGGGTGAACTAAGCTACTGATAATTCCTGGGGCGAACCACCTACACACCTTTCACCTAAACAGATCTCTGAGTCCACCGCAAACTGCCAGTGCTCGCCGCAACATGGCACCTGTTCATTCAATTTCCACAGATTTAACCATCAGAAAATTGAATGTGACCATCAAATGATAATGGAAAGGGGTGTGTCTGAAATGGGATAGTAACGTATACCCAAATTGCCATCATATACAGTAATGGGGAAGAGCATAACATCATCCAGTAAAAGTGGGGTGGGTACTCTATGCTCAGACAAGCCCACATGATTGGAATATCATGGAATATCTTGGAATATCCATATTCCAATATGACTTCAGTGTTTTATTGATATTTCATTGGAATATTCCGCTTGACAAACTTAGAATCTAATGTGCATTTCAAGCGCTTTTTGCAAGGCTGCTCGCACATAAAAACTGAGGCGGCCACAAAACTGGCCGGTCAGCACCCAGCTACATCTCAGAGCCAGACACAGACACGGCTCAGGCAGGCGCTTTCCATTGAAAACATGGAGTGAATGGGAAATCTGAACCGGAAACCATGGTCTTGAAACCAAAATTTTGAGGTGTTCCTCCAGATTTGTCATTCCACCAGGAAGCAAATATCAAGAGCTGTCTGAGGTTGCTCGATACTACAGTTTAATTATCGCCTTGGATCTGGTCTCATGACTTTGCTGCGCTCTTGGTTTGATTTTCAACCGCTCAGCCGGACATCAATCGATTCCGCGCCAGTTCCATTTGGAACGGCCATCATTCCATCATCCTCAGCTTCGGGAGGTTATTTGTTGTTGACGACCAGGCGAAACTCAAGTGTCACAAGCGAGCAAAGGAACGTGGTTGGATCGCATCTTTTTGGGAGATTCAACTTGACAAACATGTTTTACATTGATTTACAACATCTTTTTTGTAGTTGCAAATCTTCAAGAGTCTGCCCCCCAAATAAACAACATGTCATCAAGGCTCCAAGGCGTTCTGACATCCAGTTCTTCATGTCCTCCAAGCATGTCTTGGTCACAGCCACCTGGCGCCAGGTCTAGCCATGATATCAAGGGACAGGTAGGAAATCATTCCTGATTCCTGCAATCTATGTCTTTGAAGTCCCTTCATAGGACCTTTATACAGGTTCCTTCATGGCTCTTGAGCCATGCCATTCCCAGCGATTCCCAGTCTTTCCGGGCACTGGACCGCACCTGTTCAGCAGACCATTTCACGCCCAGCATCTTCTCGTTGCCGGGCAAACAGCAAAACATCTCGCAGTGGTACACCTTGCTGCGCAACGGTCAAATCAGCACCAGTACCAGATAGCAATCTCTGCCATGTTTGAAGGGTCACCCTTCACATGACGAGTCATTTCCCTTTTTGGCGCGAGAAATTCGGGTCGTCCCCCCTTTCTGGCTCCAAACCATCCCATTACAGTAGTTTCAACAACCAAGCAACTCCATCGTAGAGTTTCAGGGTTTTGTCTTTGGCAATGGCCTCTTTGTACAGCTGCTTCCTCAGGCAATGGATCATGGCTGGACCCAAACAGCGGCTACCCGGCTACCCATTGCCAAGCCGCGAAGTAGTGGGATCGGTCACACGATCCTCCAAGCCATGTTGGATCATGAAAGGCGTCCGCACCTGCGCATTTTTTGGGAGGGGGTGGGGGAATTGGACCTTCACAAGAATGTGAAATTCCAAAAGGGAGTGTTTTTCCGAGTTGAGAACATCAGCGAAACTCCCTAAAGATCCTAAAGCCAAGAAATGCTACAGCATTTCCAGCCCGCAAAACATCAAGCTGTTGTCTATTTAGTTTTGATAGATAGGAAAATCAGAACACAAAATGTCAATTTTGGCATAAGCAACTATGTCCACTTCATCCACAGTGTTTTAGATTCAGACACTAATGAACGTACGACAAGAAATATGTCCAAGTGACACAAGGACCCGTCGCCCTATGGGTGTGGCATTGCACACTTCGAGCAGAAAAGTTAAAAGTTTGAAGGTTCGGGTCCTTCCAGGTTCGGAATTCTTTTAACTTCTATTTACCTTCGGTTGCTTTGTTTTTATGTTCCCGCTTCGGTTTCGAAGCCTTCCCCCAGCTTTTGGTGTGCTGCGGCCTCACCGAGGCGTTCCTTCAGCCAATCAGGATACACAAAGCCCAGCTGCAGTGCTGTAGCCAGGCGCGGGGTCAAACCCTGCAGAGACAGAGGGTTCGCCTTCACATACCTTGGATTCACAGATCAACGTGAAGCATAGTTGCAGATTGTAAAAAGAGATGTATTAGCGTAGAGATGTTTTTTCTATATGTATGTGTAGGTATGTGAGTGTGTTCGCATATTGTTCTTAAAGCATATCAAGGCGGCCTTGACCCATTCAATGTTGAAATTATGGATGGGATGTCCACAGAAAACAAATCACCCACGGGAAACCAAAGCAGAATCGGAAAACATTGGCATTTCTGACAGGAAAATCATCATCCAAGCCCCTTTCTTTGAGTGTTTCATTGTAGTTTTCAGAACGGCCCCGTCGTGCTGCGCAGTGACTTGTTCCCTTGAGAAGGCTCCCGGAAGTCAAAGTCAGAGATGTCTCAGCGGCTTTTCGGAGCGGCTTTTGGAATGACCAACAAACTAATTGATGGTAACCAGATTGATTTGTGGTTACCCTTTGTTTCATACTGTTTGGTGACTACACATCTTTGATCAATCATCACCATCATCACCTCATTTTTTGCGAATAAGCAGAATGTGGTTGTCACAATGGCAAGTGGGCTAATGGTAAGAAACAATGAGAATGAATAATATCACAATTTCATTGTCACAATCATCATTTCATGATTGGACCAAAATAGAATAAGAATAAACATTACCGGTTGTTCATTGAGTCATTGTCACAAAGTGTTCATATCATGTTGTTTACCACATTCATTAACAACATACTACCGGTTTATTATTGGGTTAGTTTACCACATTGTTTTTTGAGAAAACATTGGAACGCCCGGCCTTTCACTGGACTGACTGGCCACGTAGGGAACCTCAGCAAGGCGTCCAAGAAGGGAGTACCACCCTGAAGGCTTCCCCGAAGGAGAACAACCGCAAAACACAATTGTTTGCTGCTTTATACAAGCTATATCCAGCTATATTCCGCCAGTACCTCCAGTTGCTATTGGCTTTTGATGATTTGGGGCGTAGTCTTGTAACCTGACGACCGGCTACACCTTGCAAGCCAGGTAAGTCATGAAGCAATCGAGCGATGGCGTACTTGAAAATCATCTGCACGATCCATGGTGGCTTCACTTCATCGCTCACTGTGAGCATGGGGCAGAGCAACAGGACCTCATCCCATATCCCGCTGAGAAGTGCTCAAGAGCTTCAATCCGCTGATTAAAAACACACTGCCAAGAGGTCCAGCTTACAAATTACAAATGGGTTGACTTACAAATTTATATACAGGAAGCCATTCTGTACATCTTCAAAATATAATTACAAGAGATTACAAGGATGTGTCGTAGATTTTCCTTGAAACCAGTTCTTGGAATTTAGCTTAAAAGGATCACAAATTGTGGCTCCAAATGCAGGCCTACTGCCTTGGGTCAGTTTGTTTCCCTTCATCGAAAATCTCCTCTTCAATGGTCAACGTGGAATGGTTCACCACGAGCAGCTGAGCTTCTAAACCAGGGGTGAACGGCTTTCAAAGACCTGATAGACCTGGGTACCTCCAAAGAGATGGGTCCCAGGGTTTACGAAAACACTCAATTGTGGCTTCAGGGCAAATGGCAGGAAACATCAGGAAACATCAGGAAACCCAAAAAAGTGTTTCCCATCAAACCGGATTCTTTTCCCATCCAACTCTGGGATTTATTCTATACATTTCTATACTAAGCATGACCAGTTTATCTCAGTTGATCTCAGTTTCCCCGTCGCCAGCTTCGCCATGCATGCCATGCTGCGCCCTTGAAGAAGCTTGGTCGCTGCAAGACCAGACATGAGGCGAGACCACCACCCAAAGAGTTGCCTCCAGATTCGTCGGTGGATGCCAACCATGGCTGGGGATGGTTGAAATCCCATAAAAAGGCTGATGACTTGGGGATGGTGACAGGTAAACACCACATGAATGGTTCCATTAAAACCAACAGCCTGGAATTCCGCTACAAAATGTGTATGTCGGGGGGTGCTATACACATGTCTATACAACGCGTGACATTGGACCGCAACATGCACTTCTTTTTCAGAGACCATACCCGTCTTGCGCTCCAACCTGCCACTCAAAATTTGTAAAATCTCTCATTTATAGATGGTTGTTCCTATAGTGTCCCGTCAAAATTGAGGTTTTTCCATGTTTTTCCCCTTTCAAAATGGTGATTTCCGTCAGGTTAGATGAAACCATTTTGGACCAGCTGTGCCTGCGAGGAAGAGAGGGAGCATCTGTCCATCAACGATGCATTCGCTAGGCCTCAGCGAAACGTTTACCAACGGCCTCGGCGCTGATGGCCAATCTTTGATACCCTGCAAAAACAAACTATAATTCTTGGATGAATTTAGCCAATATGATATATATATGTATATATATATATATGTATGTATGTATGTATATATATATGTATGTATGTGTATATATATATTGTATATGTATGTGTATATATATACATACATACACAACTATACATACGTATATGTATATATATATATATATATACATGATCCTAGGAAAAGAAATACAAGAACTGGCAGAATGGTCTCAGGATTCCAGAAACCTTGTTGGTCAGATCACTATATTCTGCTCAATTTATCCCATGTCTTCTTCTTCAACAGTTCTGCCATCCTTCGAGGCTTCAAGATCAATCCCCATGGCAGGGCCCAGCCGCAGAACCAGCTCCAGTGCTGTCCACACTTGGTCGACAAAGACCCACCAGTCAGGGATGTACAACAACAGACCGTCCTGAGGCCGTACGAAACAGGAGGACTCTCTCAAGCAAGACAAAATCGTTAGTTACATGACAAGTCACAGGAGAATTGAGAGGAAAACCATATTCATTGGGATTGTGGCACTCAAGATCTGTAAGCTCATTTTGGGATACGTTGGGTTTGGATTATCAAGAGCCATGGTTTCCAGTGTTCAATCAAAATCAAACCAGTCAAAAGCAGCGCAATGCACACAGCGACTAAGACGCAGGCAGAACGTCCGTGACCAGGGAGATCCGGAACCCTCAGAGAGCTTCCAATCAGAATGCCATTAAAAAAAATGCTGGGGACCAGTTGGGTTGTCTCAGAATTTGCAGAATACCCCAATTGTGGCAATTTCATCGGATACTGTCGGAGGTGTCATTGGATGGTCCCGACAGAGGTGCCGCTTAACGCAGGCTGCAGTCAAGTTGCAAGACCATCATTCCACTACGAGCCAGCTCCGCGAGAAACTGTCAAAGCGAGCAAAGGATGCTGGAGATGAAATCAACCCACACAAAAACTTGGATTTTTCGGTAACAAAGATTTTGTTTGGTGTGTGTTGCAAGGTGAAAAGTGTGTTGATAGGTTTGCTTTGGCCACCGAACATTCATTACAATACCAAGCACTGCAATAAACCCAATACATAATAAACCATCCCCAAGTCATCATAATTTTCATGGGTGGGAGTTCAACCCCAGTCATGGATAGTCATGGTAGGTTTATGGCAGCCAGGGTTTCTCACATCATACACCGGTTGACAACAAAGGCCCCGGAAGGACCTCCATGTACAGGTCACCAGTTGAGCTATAGCCGTGCAAAAAGACCTCATGCACGGATGATCACAGGAATATATATAGGAATATCATCTTGGTAGCTGTTTGGTAAGAATCATCACAAAATATCGCAAAATATCACTAGTTGCATGGAAGTGACCTTACTTTGGGGAACCATGACGCCCCAACCAGTGTTGGAGAATCAGCCAGTTGCCCTCACCACGCACTTCTGAGCACACTGCCAATGCATGAGTGACTTTCTTGCCCTTGGGCTTCAAGATGTGAAAGAAAATCTGACTGCCGTCTCGTATTCCTCGAATCACGTGACCAAATCCCTCTGGCCACTTCCAACTGGCGCCCGTCGACATCAACATCCAATTACTTTCATGTTCTATTTTAGGAGACAAGAAAATCATCAGGGTGGAGGTTCCCCAGTTCCCCATTTCGCCGTCTTTGGGCTAACTTTGGACGAAGTTCTGCCAAGGAACGGTAGAGTTCTTTTTTCAGCTCCACATCTGGGGAGTTGGCAAGACCCTGTGCTCCTGGGGAGATACCCACCTCAGGCCTTAGCAAAAGCAGACGGATTTGGAGGGTACACGTAACTCATTTCGAAACTGCCAAATCCTCCGAAAACCAGCCGAATCAAAGAAACCAATTCATGAATCTTTGCAAACCATTATTATCCCATTATATCATCCCATTATACCATTAATGGGATAATAATGGCTATGACCAATTTCAAGAGTTTTCCAAACTCAACTCCAATTGAACTTTGCAAAAAAAAAACGAGCCACGGGAACAAGGCTCGACGTTGTTCACCCAGACGAGTGTGAGCCACACCTCAGCTCCAGATAGGGATCGGGAAATCGTAAACTCAATGCAAAGTATCCCACTCTTTGGATGGATTCCCTTAAAAAGACAAAACCATGTCTATAATATCTATATCTACATATATACATATACGCATGTATATATATATACATATACGTATATATAACATCTATTCATATGTGTATCATCTTGAAACATCTCCAGATATCATCACCTCATCTGTGCAAAGATCCAAGCCATGAAGGCGTTCCGAGGCGCGTCGCTCGAGCCAACGACCAATGCCAATGTAAGCAGCACAGCCCAGTCCCACCACCAGAATCAGCAACATGAGGCCGGAGATTGAAATAGATTGGTGAAAATTCCATGACACCGATGTTGTTCTTTGGTAAAATTACATGGGACATTTTTCCAACTGTAATTTTCCAACATTGATGGTTTACACTTTTTTAAAAAAAAAATAGATGGGAATAGTGTTGTCCCATCAGTTTTGAAACATCATTTTAACCTGACCAAGTTGTGTTTGTGAAATGGACAACTTATACATGACGTTTTTTTGTGTGCCTTCAATGTGTTGCTGATTTCGATGTCCCACAGTTTCAGAGCGTGATCTGAGTGGCCATTTCAGGGATTCCCTTGTGCGTTGAAGGTCGTTTAAGACAATTGGTCTAAGAGCAGCCGGAAACGATGGACAAATATCGTGCACCATACTACACCGTGTGCATCTGACAATACATGAAAATACTGCATGTCAACACTTCAAGATACTTCAAGAAGTACATAAAAACTTATAATATAAGTAACTTATAAGATATCATAAGATCAAACGCCCTGGGCCTGGATGGAAACCTCTGCTGCACTGTGTCTGACAGTACTTAGCACAGTCAAGGCAGGTCCTTTTTACATGCCCGGTGCAACACAGTGATGCTTCAATTAAAGCTGCACAATTTTTTAATAGTGGATGCTTGCCGGAGCAAACCAACGGCTCCAAATTCTGACGAATGCTAAAGATGATCTCACCATCGAAAAAAAGAAATGTGGCTTTGCAATCCACACTACGGATGCACTGAATTTTCGACAACGAATCTCTGACACTCTATCAAACTTGCACAGGGAGTTCAGTCAAAAGGCCTGAAATAAAAAAATGCACTCGTGACTCACTGTCTTGATCCACCAAGGTGTGGGTTTACTTTACCTCTCAGATGATTTTGATGAGTTCGGTACTGGCATCTTCGCATTGGGCATTATCTTTAGAACAAACTACGACCAAACAACACTGAACAAATGGGCCAGACCAGGGAAATGCCCAAGTCGACCGTCCTCCCTGTCCCTTCCCCAGCACGAGTTTCACAGCTGGCAAGCTGCTAAGTGCTATAAAAACATCAAGCACTTCGCTCTGAAGTGAATTAGACCCAACAAACCATTGGGCAAAACAAGTTTTCACTCACAAATGATAAAGGTGACACAAGCTGGCAGAGCCTGAAAGTACCAATTCGTGTGCAAATGAAAAGTTCACATCCCATCCATTCCATCCATTGTCGTATTTGTCATCCATTTTCAATCTTGCAACACTGAAGCACCTGGTGGCACCTGGTTTGTCAACCAACTGCCTCCAGGGGCGACAAGTCGAGCCTTCTCAAGGTTTCTCCGGAGAATGGCTCTGCACGTGTCACTGGGTCTCACAGCGAGGGCTGACTCACATTCCCATGTACATCTAGAACTCAGTCGTGGCCAAACTTCCATTCACATTGGGTCTTTCCAAAACTTGCAGACTCGAAAACTCATCCATGTCATGTATTAGCATTATATGACCATCTAAATACATCTAAGGCCTATTTGGGGGAACCCAACCGAACCGGCACAACCATAGAGTTGGGGCCCATCCACCTCATTCCACCTCACCTGCTGCGCATGCCAGGCAGTAGGCATGGGACCCGACAGCGTGGCTCTCAAGGGAGGGCCTCGGTTGCGAATGGAAATGGATGGAACATGCCAAACCTTCGAAAGCGACAAAGGGATACTTAAAGGGATACATACAACGGGCACATTCAACTTCTTTGATCTCAATCCACAAGCTCTGAGACTCTGAGACTCTGACCCACATTGGTCACATTGGTCTTTAGACTTGACCGTGTGACTTGTGAGACTTGTATGACTCTGAGCGGAGGTCTCTGCAAAGACCTGCTTCGATTTGGCGTGGGCAACGCCTTGAGCACCGGATTCTGGACCTTGGCGATGGCACTCGGCAGCCAGGCCCAGGCAGGGACCACCACTCCCGGTGGGGTGAACGATCGCGTCTGTCTCGGCTGAACCACGTGGGGCGAGGATTGGGACTGGGCCCGTTGCGAAGGCACGCCACCAGTGGTGCTGATCCCAGAGATCACAGGGGATGCCACTAGTGCCCTCGGAGCACGGGCCATTTCCGGACCCCTGGCAGGAGTTGAAATCACACTCTGCGCTCGGTGGTCACTTCGTGGGCTCCAAATTGATGATGTAGATCTGGTCTTGCTGGACACTTCCCTGGAGAAAAACATTGATGCGTGCAACAGAGACTAATGGAATTGATATGTCACATGTCCAGAAAAACGACCTTCAAAACGGTGACTTTGCGGCGTCATCTTTGTCTTAAGCAGCGGATTAAACTGGAGCCGACCTCAGCATCTTTGACTGCGAAGATACAGCAGCAGGCCTCATCAAAAATTCTGCAAAAGCATGTCTTTTCTCCCATGTCTTGTTTCTCACTGAAACAGCCCTATGTTATGATTAGGGAGGTCATTTTACATCATCCCAGTCATAGGGATATACCAACCAATAAACAATTATGGGGTGAGTGGTTTATTCTTGGGTTTACCTCAGTATACTTCATGACAGGTTGAATCAGCACAATAATGATCAGCACAGCCCAACTCTCACCTCGGTATTTGAGCACTCTGAGCACCGCCTGCCATGGTTTACCCTCTGGAAAATTAATATAGCTATGGAAGCCATGGACCATGAAAATAGATGATTTACCTGTTAAGAATGGTGACTTCCATAGCTACTTTTTGTTTAGAGTTTAGAGGGTAACAAATGTTTGGTTTGAAGCTGCTTGACTCGAATTGAATAGTTAAAAGCCGTTCAGGAAAACACACCCGTCAACGGTGAATGGAAGACATCCGCATCACCAACTCTGAACATCCAAAGCGAATCAGAGAGACATCATTTTGGATGAACCCTTGCTGGATCTTTTTTTGGTTTACAAACTACTTTGTCATTAAGGCAATGAACCATGTAACGTTTCAAGCCGTGAAAAATCGTCGATTTTTCAAACCCCTCCTCTGCCTGGGAGTGCAGTTGCTGGGTACGCACAGACCTGGCAGGTCCCGACGGTCAAAACTCAGGGTACATGTGGCAAAATGATGCAAAATTCAATCTGTCATCATATGTATACATAGGTGATGTGTTTCTCGGTGCGTCTGTTCGAACAAAAAAAACTCAGATACTGACCGGGTAAATATTGATTTACATGCTGGGACACCTCATTTGCATATGAAGCCTCATCAGTGGCCGGCGCACATGGAATCCACAAAACGCACAGTTGTCCCTAGGATTCCCTAGGTATTTTTGTCGCAGCTAGCAGCTCTCAGTGTCTCCAGTGCAAAGCCATTGAGACGTGAAACGCCCGGGAGCCGGGAGTATATCCTTTTTCTATCCCTGACAATATCCAATCAACAGACATCAACAGATACTGGTTGGTGGTTGACCTACCCCTCTGAAAAATATGAAAGTCAGTTTGGATCATTATTCCCAATATATGGAAAAATAAAAAATGTTCTAAACCACCAATCAGGATATCAATAGTGAATTCTGAATGGCTCAATTGGCATCTCCAAAGTGAGCGAGTCTTTGGCTCAATCTGGTGCGGTGCCATTCTGCGAACTTTCCCTGGCGGATCAGGACCTGAGGCAAAAAGCGTGTCAGCAACGAGCAACGGATCAAAAATTCCCCTTGCCAGACACAACCAGATTGGAGTTTATGGAATTTATGATATGTCTTATATTAATCATTTAATTTATTTTATATCATCTCTATGGATGTCTCCCAAAAGAGCGCGCTTGAAAAAAAAACTGTAGGGTCCCTCAGGCTGCTGCAGCTGGATGCCTTCCAAGGAGCAATAGCTTCATTAACCATGGATGTCGTATTGACACATAGTCCTCGCAACCCGTTCAGGGCATCAACCAAATGGTAGCATCCCGTTCGCACAGCGCTTGATTTTGTGAAAACAAGGCTGCCAGATTCGAAGCTGCAGTCCCTTTGGGCATGCAGAAATCTCACTCTACATCTCGGCTCACTCCACTTGACAGAGCTGCCAAAATCCGCAAGAAGAATAAGTGCAAGCAAGGACTGCATGCTGCGGCACGTCCCTCAGCGGGTAGCTTTATCATCTTGTGAAATGGTCTCCACTTCGCAGGCAGATTCTATGGGTGCTTCAAATACGTTCCGCTTGAGGATCTCAGACTATGGCTTGAAGCTGCCACATCCCTTCGCCGACCCGTTGCTCTTCCAACAACGAGGATCAAACTTCCTCAACCAGCCAACGTGCAGTCCTCTTTTCTCACTCTTGGATACTTGGCAGTTGAATATTCTCCGATACTCCATGCTGCTTGGGGTTGTTATCTGGACTGGTGCTACTAGCGAAACCTTCAGAATTCAGATATTCGCTGACGTCCCTACTATTACCTCCACCTCTGGGATCGCCCCAGGAAATGACCTTCCCGTCATGCCGAACTGCGGCAAACGCTCCACTGGCGGCGTGAATACGGTGGACATTGACAAGCTCTGCTTGCACCTCAAATGTTTTGCTTTCAAACGTTTACAGCACGAAGGTCCACGGGAAAGAGTTGCTTGATGTTTCATCATTGTTCTATATTCAAGTATTCAGAATTCATCACAACAAACAAAAGGACAGCATCAGACTGACCATCAAGATCCGGAAAAGCAAAAAAACTCGAAACTTCAGACCCAAGCTACTTCAGAACTATCACCACCACAGGCTGGATCACCCCATGTCACCACAGATCCATCTGATTTGATGGCGGCAAAAGCGCCTTCGTTGGGGACTACCTGCTGTACATCCATCAGTTCTGCGCAGCCGTGGATAGCCCGTTTGGCACCCCACGTCACCACGGATGCGTCGTCTTTGATAGCTGCGAAGGCGGAATCTGTGGCCACAAGCTGACGCACTCCACCGCGCAGCCTAGGATGGCATGATGAAATGAGATCAGAAGGATCGTCTAGGCAGTTCTTATATCCAAGATCAACCAAAATAAGTCATGTTTGACTTGGACGACCAATGGTTTTGGGGTACCCCTTCGATGCCATTTTTAGAAACACCCAGATGATGTGCCAATTTGCCCATGGCTTCGGCTTCCATGTCAGTTGCAGAAACGTCCACTCAGCCCAAAACCGGCAACCTTGAGTGGGAGGCTCCAGAATATTCGAGACACGGAAATCATCCCAGCCTCCAAGAAATTGCGCTGTCCAGATCAGCTGTTTGCGTATAGTGGTTGTGAACGAAAGCCAAATACAATTGATGGACTACACAAAAAAAGAAAAACACATCTAACCCACCGGAAAACAGGCAATGACCAAGTACACAACTACACTCTTAGACCATCAACAGTCAAGCCAAGCAACACTTCAGAATGGCCACTGGCATCTCCACCGGAATCAGATGACCCCCAAACTACGACACTTCCGTCTGCCTTGATGGCAGCAAACGCAGCTTCACTGGCACAGAGCTGTACCACATCCAGGAGATTGTCACGAACAGAACGGCTGTCACCACCAGCGCTTGGGGCACCTGGCAATCTTAATGGAAAGTAGAGAGAGGGAGAGAGAAAATAAAGACATACATATATTTAATTCATCTATTCATCTATTCAGTATCGGTATCTATGCATATATATATATTATATATATACATATACAGTATTATATATATATATTAGTATCTATTTATATCTATTTATTTTCCGATCCACTTATTTACCTTATATATGCCTGATGTAGGCATATCCCCCAACCATCGCCAGCAATCTTATCAAAAGTGCCCCTTAAAATTGGAGAGCAGAACGCTGTGAGAGTGCACTTTTGTTTTTTTTTTCAAAAGTGTATATAGTCACATGTTAGCTTAAGCTACAGATGAAGCTGTGTTCATGTCTACTAAAGAGTATGTATTGCTTGAAGAAGTGTCCAGGTGTTCACCCTACCTTAGATAAATGCTACTACAGCGTCCCTTCAACAAAACACAATTTCGGCAGAATATGCTAGATGTCTTCAACATAATTACAACATCCCCATACCTGACAACAAATGCAGTATTCAAAACAAACATACCCTTCTGAATGAGAGTAATAAATATTCCTTTGCGGCAATGCAGTGTCCAAACAAAATATGAAGTATTCCTTGAAAAGCTGCACCATGCCCGTTGAAGGAATACAGTGTGCATTTCTGGATGTCTGATCCTCCTTTCGAAGGATCAGTACGCCCCCCCCAGAAAAGTCAATATTTCTGCGCAATATATGCAGTATTATTGACATAGAGCATCCCCTTCAAAAGTGCAATATGTTTGAACCTGTGAGCATTATTAAAGAATACTCTTTCGCTTCTTACCACAGAACAACAGAATATTGTCCTGTATGGCAAAAAAGGTCCTGTGAAGAAGCAGCATTCTTGGAAAACTGGATTACTTTTGTCTGACATGTGTACTCTTCCCCTTGGTCAGATCAGCCCAGCCTTCATTTAGACAACTCTCACTTAAAGAAATGTTATCAATACTATCCAACAATAATGTATATATTCGTTTAATCAAATATCTCACTCATATCAAGCGGATGTTGCACAAAATAAAACAACAGATTCTTCAAGCACGACTATACTCTTTCAAAAGAGTGCTACATGCATATTGAGGTTCAAGCAATGTTTGATTGTCTTAGGATTTAAAGATGCACATTCTTCAAATTACAACATTTTTCAAGAGGATAGCTGCCTACATCAAAGGGTGCTATGCTCAAAATATGGTTCGTTGTCTTGGAAGAATATCACATTCTGCATTCAGAGAAATGATGTGCAATTGTGAAGGACATATTTTACATGCTTACATATACCATGTATTCTTCATTTAAGAAAACACATTGTGAAAAGGGCATTGCATGTGCAAGAGGGTTCATTTTTGACATAGAAGTAGACTAAGACATGTCCTACTTCAATGGGATGTTCTACCATTTTAAAAGAAATGCATTTGTTGAAGGGAACACTCAATTCAAAGAGATGCATCACTCCTTTTCAAGGGACTCATTTAAAGTGGTTGAACATGTGTTGACTTAGGGGGTTGACTCAACAATGTCAATATCAAAATCAG